ATCTAGTGTGCTCTAGTAAGGAAATATTTGCCTAACACATTGCAAAGTGAACACTGGAGAACTATCTAGAAAGCTAAGTGTGATAGGTCACTCATTCTGTCTGTCTGTCTCTCCATGTCTGTCTTTGTCTTTCTGTTGGTCTGTCTGTTCATTCCTCCATTTATTTTTTTTCTTTGTTTATTCATTTGTTTGCTTGGTGTTTGCTTTGGCAGGGCACCTGATTTATCTTGCAAAGTAGTGCTCTTCCTTCATATTTGGCAAATGAGTCACCACATAATCACACCCCCTTCAGCTTAATTATGTGATACCAGTCGAAAGTCTGGGCACACCTACTGAAAAACGTTTTTTTTTCTACAAGATAACGGCACTAAGCTCACCTTGGGTTTGTGTTATAAGTATTATCTTGGAAACGTGGAAAGAGATTGGGTGCTGTGACATAACATGACCCCCACAATCTCCCAGTATAAACCCCATAAACCTGGTTTGGGATGAGTTGGATGGAAAAGTAAGAGCAAGTTAGCCAACTTGTGTCCAGAACTGGTGAAAACTCATTAAGGACTAATGAAGAAGCATTCCAGGTGGCTGCATCTGGAAGCTGGTTGAAGAATGCCAAGAGTCCGCAATGCTGTCATTGAGGCAAAAAGGGGGCTGTTTTTAAGAGTCTAAACTTAGAGAAAATTGCAGCATCTCATTTCTAAATTTTCGTATTTCATGTGTTCCTTCACTGCCTTGAGGCCTTTTACTATAAGGTGAATAACAGGCAAAATATAGACAAACTAAACTAAAAGAAGGCGTGTCCAGACTTTTGACTGGTCCTGTATATTCAGACCAAACATTTTATAAAATCTTATTTATCACTAACAGTTTATTGGGAATGACTTAGACTTCTGACTATGATATCTAGGATTTAATACCCACAGATACTATACATAATGTGTTTTGATATGATATAAATGATTTTCTGTAATACTTACCCAGTACGGTGAGCATAAAGCCCATCCCAGGAGCAGAGGGCATGAGGCATGGACCCCCTAGATGGCATGCACAGTAATATTTACTGTAGAAAATCCTGTTGGCTGCATGTACAGGTCCTGCAAAGCCCTTTCAGTGTGTTAAGGTTTAGCTAAGGACAACAGTGTTACCAATAACATTGCAGTAACAATGAGCAAATGTGCAATGTCAGCTAATGCACGGACGATATTAATATACCTGGTCTATTGATTACCTTTAAGGTCTGATTCAACAAAGCCATGGATATGACAGACAAACGGTAAACAAACAAACGCACGCTGACATGCTAAAGGCTGTTTAGAGAGCTCAGTCTGCCTAGCAGCTTGCGTTCGGGCTGTGGGAGGGGAGCAGAGTTTCTGGTGGTAGCTGTATGCTCAGGTGAGCCTGGAGACATGAATCCACCCCGCAGTGCTATCGACTGAGCCACTGCACCAGCCGCCACTGCATTTATTCACTGAATTTCAGTAATTGCATGCAGCCGCTTTACAGGATGGCGTTAGGCGATGACTCACTCCTATTTTATCTTGCTTCCACTAACCCTAGACTTCCCCCCCCCCGCATCCGACTGTAACCTTTCTATGACCTGCGTTACTCAGTCGCTGAAACAGCCTATTCTTGCTTTTTCTGCTCCGCGCCATATTGCAATACTAATTTCGTCTCTTGTAATCAAATAAAGTCCACGATTGCTTCCTCTCGCGTCATGTGGTTACGTTCGCTATGCCCCCCACAGGGATTCTTATGAATGGGTTGCCTTCACGCTCTTTTTTTTTTTTTTCTTTTCTTCTGTTCTCTTTTCTTTTTTCTCTGCGTTGATACCTATAAAACAAGCAGAATGGAGTAACAGTATGTGAGACATTCTCCAGGGGGGGGGGGCTGGAAGGGATGGGAGCACGGTACCGAGATTTCATTCAGGGATGCAGCAGGGAGCAGTGAAAACAAATGCCACCCACACCCCCACCCCCCCAGCCCATGCTTAACAGATACACAAAAAACCAAAATGGCCGCCAGGTCACAGAAGAGGTATAACTGAAGGCCAGTTTGGGGATCAGGATCTGGGTGTAATTTCTGAGTTTTCTTTCTTTTCTCTTACCCACAGTCTTGTATAAGAATTGGGGAAAACAGGTGCTTGTCACCTGGCTCCAGAGGTGGACAGTTCAGCTCCAGGAAGTACAAATCCAGACCAAGCTTTTGTTTCAGCTAATTAATTGAGTATAAAGATATAAAGAGTCTGTCACAGAGTACTTCAGCAGGGCGGTTGAAACAAAATCATGGTCTGGATTTGTACCATCTGGACCTGAACTTTTCACCTCTGCATCACACAGTCCTGCCTGAGGATATCCATACCACGTTACACTGGCTTAGTACAGCCCTGAATTTATTTTGTTTTATTTGGCCCTGAATTTGTACTAATATTTGTACAAATTTTTTTTCAAATTGAAATAGGGGGAAGCAGAGTTTTTTGGTAGTCGGTGAAACAAAGAATGGAGCAGCATGATATGAGATATCAAATAATGAGCTTAAGCTGAAGCTACGTTGGTGTTCGACATCTCTCTGATGACATGAGAGGCTCTCCACTTTGTTCTATAGTTTTAGTTGCTCACAGTTTATGGGCATCTAATTGTTTAGCAGATGTGAGCTTTTTGTTAAAACTAGTGTGAATTCTTGGCCATTAGCTGCTGGCCGGGATATTTGTAGCTATATTTGCCTTTATTATGATAAACCAATGATGATGAAAATAATAATAATAATTAGGTAATAAATAGTCTTAAGACCAGACATTTTATATTTGTAATTCTTTACTGAACAAACGATTTAAACAGTCATGGTCACTGTTGGAAAAAGTATGTGAGCTTATTTAGTAAGTAAAGCTTTCTGTAGTTGCTGATCAGACTTTGTCGCAGTTAGGGGGTCTCAGGTAATGTATTTTTTTCGGACGTCTTGCTTGAACAGCCTGCTTCAGCCGTACTGCATCATTTTAATTGATTGAGGCCATTGCAGAATTTCTTATTTGCTCCATTGTGTTGTTGATCTACAGCTGCGTTTTGCATCCTAGTAATGACCCTATTTCCCTTTCAGTTTTAAATCGTAGAAATATGCCCTGAAATTCTGCTGTAGAATTTCCTGATAGCATTTAATTTTTGATCCCTTGATTGCAAACTATCCTTGCTGTTATACATCCTCAAATTCACTTCATAGCTGGGATATGCTTTTGGTCTTTTGTTTTCTCAAACATAACGCTGTGCAAGTTTTTTAAAGAGTCAACCTTTTTCTAATCTGTCCACAGAACATTGTTCCAGTGGTGCTGTAGAACATCTATCTGATGTTTAGCAAACTTATGAAGGGCAGCAAGCAGTACCAGTCAAACGTCTGGACACACCTACTGAAAATCATTTGTTTTTCAACAAGATTCAACCTTTAGCACACCTCAGGGTTTTGTGATAAGTACTCTTGTGAATTACGAAAGCGATGGAGTGCTGTGACAGATGACCTGGCCCCCACAATCCCCCCGATTTAACCCTATAGAGCTGCTTTGGAATGATCTGGATTGAAGAGTAAGAGCAAGGTAGGCAACCTGTGCCCAGAACTTGTGGAAACTCCTTCAGGACTGTTGGAGAAGCATTTCAGGTGGCTGCATCTGGAAGCTGGTTGGAAGAATGGCGGGTGTTTGCAATGCTGTTATCAAAGCAAAAGGGGGCTATTTTGAAAAGTCAAAAATTTGGGAAAAGTGTTTAATATAACTTGAGTAATATAGTCCAATGCATTAAGAGTAAGTGTGTCCAGACTTTTGATTGTTAATGTAAATCATCGTCCATGTTTATGCCAAAAAATAACCACGTGAAACATTGTGTTTTAATGTTTATTTTGTCTTAAGGTGGAGATCAAATTGCATTTGAGGAGCTATTCATGCAAAAATGCATATCATTGCAGACATTTTTCTTAATATTTTACATAAAGCATTAATGCCTTCACTACCTGTAACCTTGCCAGTCCTTATTACAGTGCCTGAGCTGGTCTTACAGTGCCGGGCTCGTCTGAACAGCATTTAACAGTTACCGGTCACTGCTGAAGTCATATCATTTAGATTTTATCAGCGTTTCCCAGAAAATGTTAATAGCTGGTTTTGCAAATTGCACTAGAAATGGTCGAGGCAAGGAACACCCGCATCGTGAGAGATGGACAACCAACGTCGCATGTGGATTTTGCTAAAATGACAAAAAACCCATGTCTACCTACACCCATGTCCTTCTGTGTTTTCTTTGTGCTGAATCTGAATTGGCCAACTTTTGTTTTTGTTCTTTTTCATCATTTCATAAAATGCTTTATTTTGGTCCAAAATAAAGTTATTCCTTTTATCTGCCCTTCAGTCACCTGGTTCTGTTTGCTGCTATTAAAGTCACAGATTCGTCACAGAAAGTCATAGCCGATAGGTCATAATTAGGTAGCTGTCATAATTTTAGGTAGTACACTCACTGAGGCATGTAGGATGCATAAGTGAGCGTGTTTCAGTTACAGTTTCAAAATGGTCCATGTGACAGAATGGGGAATTTATTTGGGTTTTGGGTCAAGTTCAACAAACTGGGGCTGAATCACAAACACCTAGGACAATTGTTTTGGATTCAGAAAACGGGAAACGGTAGGAAAACAAGAGTAGTATTGGGTCTGCGGATGGAACAACAATGTCTGGCTGTGTGGTTTGCCCCAGACATGAAACAGAAGTCTGTTTTGAAAGGATTGTCACCTGACTTTGCCCCACAGTCTCTGATTGCAGGGACGCAAGAACAACAGAAGTCAGCACAGTGCAGCTGCAGACGCAAGCAGTCTAGGTACAAATATACTGCCAGATAGGTCACTGCTGTTGGCGAAGGATGGGTTGTGTCCGTTCGTGGCTGCTGGAAGGCGGGCTTTACGTAATAGAGTATGGGGGCAAACCCATGAGTTCTGGGAAGGGTTAATCGTACTTGACGCCCCCGCATCTCCTTCTACCATAGACCACCAGTAGCGGCAGCAGCAGGATGAGCTCAGACGGGGGAGGCAAGCCGGTCAAGGTGGGGTCCCTGGTGGAGGTGATCGGTAAGGGCCACCGCGGCACCGTGGCCTACATCGGCGCCACTCTATTCGCCACCGGCAAGTGGGTGGGCGTTATCCTGGACGATCCCAAGGGCAAGAATGACGGCACTGTGCAAGGCAAACGCTATTTCACCTGCGAGGAAAACCACGGCATCTTTGTGCGCCAGTCCCAGGTAACGTTGCCTGCTCCTTTTCTTCATCCAGAAACTGTACGCAGACCATGTGCTTCCAGAAAGGGCTGAAGTGCTGAACAGAAGGTGCGGTTACACATGTCATTGTGTTTAGGGTTGTAGACTGGGAAGATACTCAGGACATGCAGGGTAATGAATTAAAACCATAGCATGAGGACACAGGTGTTTTCAAGGCAATATGAGAATATGAAACTGAAAGTAAAGACAAACTAAAATGATAGTTTTAATATGCTTCAGTCCTTTAAACCAGCTGGACTTCTGCTTTTGTGCAGGAATGGAAATGAATTAGTAGAGTAGCAGAAAACTGGAAAAGTCCAACTAGGCTTGGGCTGTATCAAATTTTTCCTAGCATCTGGACATTATACCACAGTTTTTTGGCTGTATTTCTGAAAGCAGCCGTGCCCCCCAATACATTTTGCCAGACAAAAATATTGTGTTATTCCCAAAATGTCGCGGTATGCTTGTTGACCATAATACTGCCCAAGTCTAACTCCAAAGATGTGGCATTCACTTTTCACACACTTAGTACTAATTTTTTGTCTTCACGTCACTGCTTTCATTGTCTTTTTTCATGCCGTCTTTTGTGAGGTTTCCCAGTAGCTGTCTTCCATCAGTCCGGAAGGTACTTGCCCCTTTCCGTGCCCTTTGTCTTTGCTACATTGCACTACTTTAGCATTTCCCCCCAGATTTTCTTTAGAAGTCACCATTGCTTAGATCCTACAGAACACAATATACGAGACAACCTGCATCAGAGTTCATCTTTGACTGACTGTTAGAGCCTGAAATTGTAGACCGGCAAACTCCGTCTACTCGTCTTACTTCTCTCTGGTTCTGCTGAATCAAAACTTTGAGGTAAGTTGTGTCACACAGGAATATTAATGTCATCATTCATTTGCTCAAGTGACTGGTAACATTGCTGTCCTTAGTTGAAACGTAGCACACTAAGGAGGCTTTGAAGGACTGTGTTATATACTTGTATACTTGTAGTAGTGTACGGTATGTCCAGTCATTGGTACTTCTTGTTTGGCACCATTTGCTCTGAGATACGGTTCAGACTAACATCGTTTGATATGCCAGTGTCATTATCGTATCACGATACCAAAAATCTTAAACGATACAATTCTGTCGATTAGTTACATCCCATAGTGGACGTGCCGAATCGGCGCTTTGGGGAGAGAGACGGTCACACTCATTTCAGGTGTCGCTTGTGCCTGTAGTTGATAAGTAGGGTGGCAGTAGTGAGATATCGCATCACGTCGGTGTTAAACTGAACGTAAAGGGTGAATCTACAGACCTGACAGCCCCAATACACAACGCTGCCATCAGGGGGCAGCACATCTAACCTGGTGAAGCATCCGTCTGTCACTCAACCTGATTTATATACAGAGTTCAAAGTTTATCAGTTCTGCATGATAATGGACACATGAAATAAGACACATGATAGTGATGTAATTTAACAATTATGCTTTGCATTCCTGTTTAAAGTCATGTTTAACCTACATGCAATTGCATTCATATCTGTTTCCCTGGTGATACACTATGTACGCTATGCTAAATGATAAACAGAACAAACACAAATATAAACCTAACAGCAATGAATTATGAATGAGGTTTTGTAACAGCTGAGGCCAATTTAATATCAGAAACTAGGGATTAGTCCACTGGGTTGGGAAACACTGGATTAGTCTATATCTACGGTTGAGGCCAAAAGTTACATATACTTTCAATATTTCACATGTCATGTATCATACATTTCCTGTGTGAAGTGAATCAGGGTATTTTCTAGATCTGTATCAGTACTGCAGATAATTCTTATCTTGCAACTCATCCATCTATCCATCCACTGTATCATTCCGGATAATGGTGTTCCAGAACCTATTGTGGTGGCTGTGGGAGCAAGGCGGGGATGGGGTACCAACCCATTGCAGGGTACACACCCACACACACAATTTTAGCAAGTCTTCGGGTTTTTGAGGGGGTAAGCCGTAGTACGTCCGTAGGAAACCTCACGATGACACAGGGAGAACTCCACAAACATATAGTCATAATTGAGAATTGAACCCTGGTCCCTGGTGTAAGTGAACAGTGCTACCCACTGCACCACCATGCCACCCATGCTACCCACTGCACCACCATGCCACCCCTGCTACCCACTGCACCACCATGCCACCCCTGCTACTCACTGCACCACCATGCCACCCATGCTACCCACTGCACCACCATGCCACCCATGCTACCCACTGCACCACCATGCCACCCATGCTACCCACTGCACCACCATGCCACCCATGCTACCCACTGCACCACCATGCCACCCCTATTGCCATTCAGTTTGTCACTATTTTCATCTAGATTTTGAACCTTAGCACTGATTTATTAATTTATTTCAGTATCATTAAACATTGGCAGAATGCCGACTGGTTTATTATACAAATATTTAACATTTGCTGTTAATATGGCCTATGCTAAGTGCACTGCAATACAAAAATGCAGTTGTGTCTGCCTCTGAAAGTACAAGTCAGGTGTTTCATTCTGTATGTTTTTTCCCCCCACTCGATGTTTTAAAAACAGAAATGTTCTCTTTATGTTTGTACAGAGAAATGCATAATTTCCTGGGAGCTGGAGTGTGTATGTACTTTATTTAGGATGCTGGCTCATCCTTGGTAGTTAAAGGCTGTTAATGACCTGGTTTTAAAATTTTTGTAGTTCCATTATTTCAATATTGGAGTATTAAAGGGATATTTCACCCCAAAAATGAAAAAATAATATATGTTGCAGAGGGACTATAGTGGTATCTGTCCATGCAGGCTGTTCTGCTGGGAGTTGCCTATTTTTGGAGTTATTGCCAGGTGCTCATATCTTCTGCACAGTGATACGATTGGTGTGTGGAGTTTGGTAGAAGAAAATAGTTCCTACATTAAGCTTCACTACAAAGTCTGTGAATTATCTTGAGTGACCGGGTCATGATTTCCGGTAAGAGACATTGTAGTTGAATTTTTCAAATGTATTTTTTTTACACTTTATTCACCACAGAAATAATGCCATTAATTCCCATTATATTCGAGAGAAGCCTGACATTTCTATGACCAATATCTCCAAAACTAGGCAACTCCCAGCAGAACAACCTAGATGGATATATTGCAATGTAGCCCCCATAAAACACATCTTTTTCAGTTTTGGGGTGAACTGCCCCTTTAAGCATCAGGATAAAACGGCATTATTGTGATGTATTGAATTGAGACACTGGTATCGTAATCCCTGCTGAATCATGGACTAGTTGGCGATACCCAGCCCTAGTATTGACCTCATTTCCATAAGAGGTAATGACAAAATGATAGCTAAATTAATTTCAACCTTTATTTACTGCAACTGATTTTCAGTAGGTCAAAAATTTGCCAATTTAGATGTTACACTTCTGGAACATTCCATATTTTATGTAATGCCTTTAGAAGCCTCTGTTTGGCCAGTTATCTTAATTATGAGTTAGTTGGCAGTACCCCTGGCTGTATTTAAATGCCAGTGTTTGTTGCTCTTGATACCATGGGAAAATCCAAGCAACTAAGGCAAGACCTCAGAAAAACAATGTGGACTTTCACAAGTCTGGCTCCTTTTTCTTCACTGGTAATGTGAAAACTAAATTATATGCTGTTGCTGTTGGTTCCATTCATAAATGGGCCTGTGTATGTCAACGCTATATAATATTTATCGTGAATGTCTTACAGTATGGATCTGGTATTAATACCGAGATAACAAAGCTGGTTTGTATCCAACTCTACTTCAGACTCACTGTCTGGATAAATGACGGATGAATGATGGATGAATTGTGCACTACTTTTTACGGCATTTGTCATAAATTTTTTCCTCACCTAATAAATTTCCTAGTGACCCCACATAGAGAGAGTGCCTGTTTTGGCACAAGTCCGTGAGTAATACATTTTTTAAGGGGTTACACCCTGATGGTGATTTTGTGCAGTGAAGCTAATTCTTTCTCACTCTGTCTATTACAGTAGTTGGCTTGAAAGGTGTCTGGTCGTAATGTGTAGCTTCTCATCAGGGATTGGCCTAATTCTCACTCAAGTCCTGCATGATACGTATGCATTGTGTGTGCCAGGGAGACAGTTTTTTCTAAGTAAAAATAAGCAAAGTTATTTATAAATTTCAGCACTCATGTTGCGTGATATAAGCATTTGTAGGCAGGATGCATAAAGCAGATTGTTGCCATTACAGCTTCCCTGTCACCATCATGGTATGCAACAATACTGTTTTTTTTTCCCAGAATGCACCATGTTGAATACTATTTGAGTGCTAGAGTTTAATATTTCCCCAAGCCTTCATAGTATTGAAGTTTATACTTATTGTTTTTCATACTGAGAAACTCTGGCTTCTTCAAGCCGACCTTTTGAGGGACTGCTTGTGCATAGCTGATACCCTCTTTGCAAATGCTTAAATGCTGCCATTGTCTTGGGAACCAGCCTGCGCTTTCTTTTCCAGTTTAAGACAGCAGGCCATGAGTTCACAGGTAGGGAGACTTGGCATTTAACTTGGTGGGTTTTAATTTTTGTTGGGACTCGCGTAGTGAGGTTGGCACCTGATACTGTGTCTCATCTGGAAAGTTCACATTAGACTGTCTGACAGTTGGCTCACTGCACATAAGGTTCTTGGATCACATAGTTGCATCTGTGTCAAATATCAAAATCCATCCTTCACATATTAAATACCCATCCCCCCATCTTCCATCCAGGTCAGGATTGGGGGTGTGTACGTGGGAGGGGGGGGTAGCCTATAGCAGGTACACCCAGAACACAGTGGTTTTACAAAAGATATTTGTCTGTGAAGCCTGAAAAATTAAAATAGCACATTGCAATATACAAAATATACAAAGTACTGAATATTCTCAAAATAGCCCTCATTTGCCTTTAAAACAACTGAATAAGAAGTGAGTGGCATTCGGTAATGAGTTTCAGCTGGAAGTCACATTAAATGTCTTTCCGGCTCTGCTGCAGTGATACCCAGAGACTGAAGGTGCTTGTTGGGTGTTTGTCTTAGAACAGTTTGTCTCATAGAAGGATGATGGAATGAGGTCTGGTGACTTGGCAGATCTGGTAAATGGGTCAAGTTGTCCTGCATTTTCCTTCCTAAGTTTTTAGGTCTTGTATAATTTAGAGGTATGTTTTGGGTCATTCTTTTGCTGAAGAACGAGGGATGGGCCAGGCAGCCATGCTGGTGGAGGTTGCCATTGGTCTGCTATAGATCACCAGTCAAGATCAACCCCAATTAGGCTGCCCCCCTCCTCACTTGATATTGGCAACCACACATGCAAAAATCATATCTTAATATTACATGGCCATTGGACCCAAACATGTTTTGGCAAGTGTATCCAATTAAAGTCATAAATAATTATGAAAGTAGTTATATTCACACTTTTGTTTAATACTGTACTTTTTAAAAATGTCTGTCTCAATTACAGATCGTTAAGTTTTACACATTGTTGGATAGTCATACAAATAATTTATAATGAGTGTGACCTGCTATAACCATCCATCTGTCTTGCAGCCGCTTATCCAGGTCCATGTCGCAGGGGCTCTGGAGGTTATCCAAGGCAGAATAGGGTTACTGGGTTGAGTTACACATTGCAAGCGATGCAGATCGGATGGAGGGCACAAGGCATCCACTCTGGGCAACTTAAAGACACCTGTTTGCCTAACTGCATGTTGGATGTGGGGGTGGAAATTAGATTGTCCAGGGGAAATGCAGGCGATACGAGGAGATCCATGCATACTGAGCAGAAATGGGATTTGACCCCCTTCCCCAACCCAACATTCCTACCCCCAATATACCCACTATAACCAGGACTTTGTAAACATTGATTGTCTGTGTCTGTCTTTCAATAACCATCTTCTCTTTCCTCATTTAAACCCATTTATTGGTTGTGCGTCATTTTGCTATGTAGTCTTCAGAGTTCCACTCAACCTGGCTCTGTGCTGCACTGCTCAAATACTAATCTGAAAGACGATCTGAAAGTGCTTTCTGGATATCTTATTTAAGAGTTTTATTTTGCTCTTTGTTGTAAGATGGGCTCTTTCTGTAGACTTTGGTCATGTGAGGTGCATGTTGTCATTGTCAATGGTAAATCTGAGTTATTTCTTTCAGTCCCTTGGATTGTAACCTCGTGGTTGCAGGGCTTCTACAGCTTACCCTCCCTGTCAGTCAGGTCTGTCATGTGTTCACTGGTGTCTGAAATTGGGTCGTATTTGTCGTCTTCTGCTCAGATCCAGCTGGTTGAGGATGGGATGGACACCACGTCTCCCGAGACTCCGGAGCCAGCCGCCTCTAAGGTCCCCAAACGAGGTAAAGGGGGAAGTGGACATTGGTGATTTAGTGCAGCAAGCAGCAACAGCCATTAAATGTGGCCAATACTACTAATGGCCACAGTTGGTTACCTGTGTCCACTAGTGTTTAACCACAATAGCTGATTAGCTGTGGACACTCAGTCCAGTTGAATTTTGATGGTTTTTTTCTAGTTTTCTATGTTGCTGCTGTCTTACCTTGTGACATGTTGATTAATGCTGGTTATTTTAAAAAATATATTTCTTAATATGAAATCAGTTTAGTTTTCAGTAAATAGAGGTATCTTTGATCCATTGAGGCTGGTCACTCATTGTTGTAATCCGTACAGTCACATTAATGGATATATTTGTGAAGTACAGTACAGTTGCTTTCATAAGAATTACAACGTTGTACAGCTACATTTTTTCCCTCCTAGAATATATGGTCTTCACAGTACCATTAGCTACAATAAGTCATATCCGAGGTGAATTCCTATAAAGGATCCATCAAGACACACTCATGAAATGAAATCCAGCAGTTACATATGTGGATCTATTTTTAAACAAAAAACATTTGATCAGCCTTCTGAATGACCCTTTCTGGGACGCAACAGGAAGACGAAATGGCTGGAGAACTTGGTCTATCCTAGCTTTGTCCGTCCCTGTAAGTGTGGCCTCCTCCAAAGTGACTGCGGAGAGAAAAGGCTCAGTCCAGCAGTCTTGCTGTATTATTCTGGTTGTTTGTCACAGTTTTCGTTTCCATGGAGATCATCTAAGAAAAGGGAACAAATGTTTCTTAGACTTTTGGAGCTGACCACCATTCATATTCAGAAGCTTCTGTACTTTCGTGATTTAAAAACACATTTTTTTCCCGTTGAGGGAGGACATGATTAATTTTTGAAAAAGGTACAGTGTTTCAGAACTGGATAATACAATGGACATAGTAGGGTGAATATTTTTGTTGCAGGTACCCATGGTGGTTATAGAGCCATTGTTTTATAGAAGCAGTTATGAAAACCCACCATTGTATTTGTATTCGGATATATGAAAAATGAACAGACGAGCATCTTGTATCCAAATTATGTTTCTGTATTCCTTTATCCGTTTATTTAATTATGTAAGTTGATATTTAGCACCTTTTTAGATGTTTACAATTTCAAACAATTGAAATTAAACAATCAAAAATACCCTAATTGCATGTGTGCATACCCCCCTCCAACTAATATTTTGTGGATGCACCTTTTCCATTTATTTCAGAGCTCTGTAAGTCTTTAGGCTAGACTAAAGTCATATTGTACACCTGGACTTTTCAGTATTTAGGTCCTTCCATTGGTCCTCAGTCTATGGGATTAATATCAGGTTCTGACTGCGCAGTCCCAAGATTTTGATGTATCTTTTTTTGCAGCCATTCCTCTGGATCTGTGATTTGAGTCCTTATCACGTTGGAAGGTGAAATATCTCGTCAACTTTCTGGCTGAAGCTAACAATTTTTTTTATTTTTTTTTTGCCAAAATATCTTCATATTTGGGGCCAGTCATTTTCCAGTCTATTTGACTGAAGCCCCTATCCCAGCTGAAGTGAAGCAGATCATAAAGCATGATGCTGCCACCATCATACATCATAGTAGCTATGGTGTTCTTTAGATGATCAGGTCTTGGCAGCAAACATATCTCTTAGAATTAAGGCCAAGAAGTTCAGTATTTGTTTTATTAGACCATAAGACATTTTTCCACACTGTCTGGGGTTATTGTTTATTTTTTACATAAATTAGATTGACTTTGATGGATTTTTTTGTGAGGAATCTTTTGTATTGCCACTCTACCTCAAAACCCAGGCATGAAGAATATGAGATTGTTTTAAGAGTAAGCAGTACTTGTGCAAAATCATTCAGCACAGTGAATTCACAGTGCTCCATTGTGTGTCAGTGACTTTGATACTCTTTTGTGCACGTCTCCTGACTGATACTTTCCCTTTCGGACTCTGGCTGTCCCAGTAGGATTCAGCCACAAAAACCTTACAGGAATGGCTGATATTAATTTGGGTTCCCTTTGACTGACATCAGATGAATGTCACTTATCTGTGCACTTGATTCGGAATGCAAAAGATTAGCTCTGAATAGTTCATACATGTATGTAAAATTTAGTAACATTATATATTGTGCATATTCAGTACAGTGGAAAAGGCTTAGGCAGTCAAAGATAATGTTTAAAGCTATGATTCTGGGTAGAAAGTGTATATTTATTCCAAACAAAAAAACTAAATGTATGCAAATTAAGAATAACACAATAAAAACAGGATTTTCTTCTGTTCTCCAAAAAGTTACTGGTGCCTTGTTGGCAGTGATGTGTTCAAGACCATCTGTTTAGACATCAAGACGAGATCAAGGCCCATCCCAACCAAGACAAGATCAAGACTTTTAATCAAGACCAAAACAAGACCAAGACTTAAAAATTCACAGTCAGAATTTAGATAATTTTTTTTGGTAGAGTACACCCGTATTGAGGCTTTATTTTCATTTATGTAATTCCAAAAGACCCTTTTATTGGAAAAACTTGTTCACATACTCTAAACAATAATGCAGATGTATAAAAAACACACAATATAACGAAATCGCGTACACAAAGCACTCCCCCAGCTCCCTGACTACGATAGTAAATTACAACTCTAACAATCAACACTAGACAATGAACTCTAGCAACAATGTCCAAAACAGTCCAGGATAACATGAGCAGCTGATGATGGATGAGTTGAAGAAATACCTTGTGAACCGCTCTCCGAAAGGAATGTTCCTGATGCGGCGTGAGGTGACTGGGAGCAAAGCTGTAGCCAGGGTGTGAAAAATAGTGAGGTCCATGACCTGAGGGTGAGGGGGTCTCACCAATCACACATTAGATAGGCAGTGTTAAATGAGAATTCATATTTATTAACTTATAGCTTAGATAACAGCAAGTTAAGTGGAGCTATTGTATGAATTTGCCTTACTGAATGAATTTAAGTCTATATCATAAGAACTTTACAGAGCAGTAAAATATTATGGGTATATGAAGCATGTAATTTAAGGTTATTTATAACCATATATAAAGATAAATATGAAAGAAATGTTTGATATTAACACACCATTACAAGCCAACATCAAATATACTTGTTTTGATATCCAAATTTGGCTTTGAAATGTTTCTATAGACAATATTGTTCATACCGTGCCGCTATAAGCTATTTTTTTTAACTAATGACATTAAAGGTTAGTTAGCTTAATCTAGCCCATTAGGCGTATCGTGAAAGAAACCCAACCTTTAGCATGGCCAGAGTAGCCTAGCCTACGCCTACATGTAACATATGCCATACTATTATCTTTACTCCAGGCGCTATAGCAGGTTGCTGTTTTGGAATGTTTTTTACAGATAATGATATTTATTTTGTCTTACCGAATGACATGCTGCCTGCGCACCCTCCCTCACAATGCTGCAGGGTCACAATCACGCCACGGGAATTCAACCTGCTTTCAGTGCAGTGTGCGCGTGCGGTTATCCAGTGGCGCGTCCGCTGTCATGCTGAAACTGAATGCTCTAGCTGTCTCTCACACACAGTAGACACTATTAATAACACATTCGAACTGAGTAAGAGTACACTTGGTTACACTATCCTCCTATTACAGACATAATGTCATAGTTTGAACATGAACATCATTAAAACAACATTTTCTTTGACCGTATAAGAGTTTTGCACAGTACAGTAATTATCTGCTATATTGTTGTGCTTAATCATTTTTACCAACACTTTGCATACATTTTAGAAACTTATATGACTTATTTATGTATCGAGCACTAATATTTTTGTATGTTTTGTAAAATAAGATGTGACCTCCACCAGAATTTATTCTGTAAGCCCATAAGATCATAATGATCCACCAGTAATCAGATCTGTAGGTCATTCTGCAACATCAGCCATTTTTAAAAAATCTCATTCTTTTCAGCATCCGAAGGATTTTATTTTCGCAGTGACCTCACGTGAAAATAGGCCCTGGTCAGGACTGAGTCAGGCCACCCAAAGGGCTCAGTCACAGTTTGAATACCTTGAATACCCCCCCGCTGGCCTTCTGGTACAGGGTGTCTGTTTGTCGTTACCATGGGTCAGTTTTTCACTGAACAAGCCCTCTATATTTTGGTGCAAGATTACAGTTCACATACTTTTCTGACACTTTGGGTGAGGTGTATCACCCAACAATGAAAGAAAAGGGCTTAATGTTTCCTGATTTTAGACTTCTGCTGTTGACTTGATCATATTAGTGGAGGAGAATGTCATGTTAGAATAGTTTAATTTACAAACTCATTAGAACATTTATTGTGAAGGTCTGTTCTAATCAGCTCATTCCTTCCCAGTGCCGCCATTACTGGAAAAGGAGCACTCTACAAAATTATGAAGCTTTTATGGTGCAACAGTAAACCGCACTGCTATAAAAAGTAGCTGTTTGTAAATTTTTCCTGCTTTTGTCCCAACAGAGGTTACTGAGACGCCAAAATCAAGCAAGCTGGTGAGTACAGAATGATATCTCCATGCTGTAGTATTGATAAAAAAGTGTTTTTCTGCTTGAGTGAACACATGTGATCTCAACAGGAAATTTTGTCAGGCCTGGCAGGTTCGTGAGAGTTGTGTTTTTGCAGTGCTGAATTATGGGTGCCGTTACTGTTTGTATGAATGTGGTTTGCCATCACTTTCAACTGGCACGATCATGCTTGTCATGAACCGTTGTCAAGCCTTCACAGGCCCCTTCATTACTATACTTTTAATTTAACAAGAATCTGCCTCTTCCTTTCTTGTGTTGGGATGTAGTGCAGTATCACTGTTCCTCCCCTCTACTGCCCTGCACTCTCCTTTTATTTTTAATCCCAAAGAACAGTTAAGAGGAGGTTGAAATTATTTTTCTGTCCAACAGAGGGGGTGCTGTAACCAACAATCAGCTGTATCATCGCTCTTCTGCGTCTTATTCGTTTCAGTTTTTTTTTCTCATATCGCGCTCACCTGGAATGATACCGTATCAAAGCTTGTCCAATAGGTTAGACAGAAATATCTCTAAATGTACATTATATTTTGTCCAGTATATTTCTCAATGCCCCAAGGCAACATTTTGACACTGATTTCCTATTCTGTAAACTGAGAATTTTACACATTTTAGTGTTTTATTGTTCTGGTTGAACTAATGTATGTTCAGTGCAGTGAAAAACAGGAATCTTCCTAAATTGTTTCTTCAGGGGCACCTCAGCCATTCCATGCATTTAAGTTTTACTAACATCTTAACTAATTAATTAGGTAAATAATTTGATTTATGGTATGCTAGTGGTTGAGTTACCAAATATGGAGGTATATTGGATGATTACTGTAAATACTGGGATGACTGTTTTGAAAAGGTTAAGGTAACATATCTGGACAGACATGGTATAGTTTTACACGTGAAGATCGTTTAAATTTGCCAGCCTATTTTTAAGATATATAAAGTATATATAAAGTATACATACAGTACTGTGCAAAAGTCTTAGGCTGTCAAAGAAAATGTTTAATACTGTTTATCTGGGTACAGTGGGTAGTAAGTGTATATTTGCTTAAAAAAATACAGTTTAATATCAGAAGATATGCAAATTAGTGGTAACAATAGAAACTAGTAATAATTTCTTCTGCTCTCCAAAACATTACTGATACCTGATTTGGTTGCTAGAAGAACACCACTTCAGTTCCAGCCATCCCATGTATTACTGAATTTCACCCCTTGCTCGATTAATTTAATTAAATTTGCTAAAAAGCTGAGGTATTGATTAGCCAAAGACGGTGAGCTAGTAGTCGAGTCAACAAATACATGATGTGCTAATGTTGCTGCTAATGCTGGGGTGAGGATCTGTGGCTGAGGTTTGCAAATGGATTCATAAGCAGACCCACTTTGACATCGTACACATGAAGATTATTTGAACATCATTTTCTTTGACTGCTTAAGACTGTATTTGTACAGTATGAGATGTATATAAAGACGACTCACAACATACAGCTGAAGCTTTGTAGATCCGGGACGATTCTTGAGATTTTAAGCCCTATAACCTAGACCAACCCAGTTATGTTCCAGATATTTTAAGGCCCCTGTCCCTTCATTACACCTCTTCCAGAAAGAAAATATGATGTACATGCCCCCACCTACCATTGAGAAGTCCTCAGTATTTTTTCTGCAGCTCCATTAACCACGACCCATTACAGGCACACCTAAGAAGGGCTAACACTTTTGAACTTGGTCCTGGCTTCAGCCCTGTGTGCCTAGCATGCCGTATGATAGCTGTGGTGGAAGAGTGCTGTACTGTATGGCGATGTGAGCATCCCACATCTCCCAGTCTCATTCTCACACCTGTAAGTCAGCGTGACCATCCTATTCTGATATGTCCATTTCGACATGCGACCTGTCTGTCAGAACAGAACCAATGTCTAAGTTGCGGACAGTCTGTAATAGCAAGATGGTGCATACACATTCCTATAATAATTTATATAATACTTTAATAATGTGCTATTTAATTATTTATTCTGAGTTTATTTAGATGTGCACCACCAACTGTAAACTGTAGTAGAATTTAATTACATGCTGCCACCACAAGTGCATTTCAACAGCACAATTGTGAAATAAACTTACAATTATTAAATTAAATATTAAATAATTAAATTTTGGCACAGATTTATTGCTCTGTGTTTATTATATATCCCCAAATTTTGCTCCCAAATCAAGGCAGGCTTTTATGTCTGTTAAGGAGTCCCTTCCATTTTTGATTGGACCAGCTAGGTCATGCTACCCAGATGAATCATGGGAATTCTGGCTGTCTGCCTGGATGAGTCATCTCCGGCTTCCCTCAGATCACCTATCAGGCTCACTGCTGATTGACTCGCCTGCTGAATTATATCATCATCCCTCTTTTCAGCTGTGTAGTTTGCCCCAGAATATTAAGAAATTGGTTTCGGAGGAGGGATAAAAGTCAACATGTATAGGGATAACAAAAAGTAAACTGACAGATACTGGCCTGGATGTTGTATGTTTCAGTGATATTCCAGTCGCCCAAATAGAGTGTAGTGATATTTATAGTTTATTATTGAATAATATTGAGTGATATCAGCATTACTAATAATAATAAGAACAGCATACCGTATCAAACTAGAAAAATTAAGACTGATAAAATGTTTGTCAATAATCAGACATCTGGAATGCAACTTCTGTTCTTTGTAAAGCTTGAAACACATGCTTAAGTAAGTTAAATATTGGAACATTAGACTTAGAAGAATCCATGTGTCTTGCAAAACTTACCTAAAGTATTTGGTAATAACGGCAATTGTACCAATAATAATGATTGTTTCTGTAGAGTATGGATATTAGCATTTCAGATTAATTGTATTGCATTTCGCTGACAATGATCAACTCAGTGAGCATAGTTTGTTGCAAGGTGTTTTTTCAGTATTTGAAAAAACTTAAATTGTAACTTCATTATAACTTTATGTTCATAGTTAAGGGGAAAAAGTGGAAAAACTAGACCAGTTAAACAGCCTTCAGACCATGTGACAAGCAGATGTTAACATAGTGGTAACAATAAACTTTTTTATTGTTAATAAACAATAGACAATTTTGCATTGAAAAATAGAAGAAAAAAAAAAAAGTGATAAAATAATGAATGGGTCCAGCAATACTCATATACTGTCGACCTTTGAAGGCTATGTTGCAATATTTACAAAATTTGTTTTTAGATTTATGCATGAGTCACTTTAATCCAATTTGTCAAAATATTGTTCTCTTGATTTTGCACAAAGAAATCTCTTTGATCAGCATTTCCACATACAGATCTGTCACCCTCATTTCCATCTACAAAGCTGCCATGCAAACATTTGATTTGTTTCGTTATGCTGTTTTAGTCATAGCATAGCATACTATAGTGTAGTATAGTATGGAGTAGTACATTGGCTCTCAAACTTTTTGTCTGGAGCAACTCATTGACCTAATCATTGGTTAAGTCTTGCAATCCCTTTTGATTTGGGGGGGAGGGGGGTAATCCTGATGATAAAATTAGCGAATATATTGCTTTCGATAACATTTTCAAGTGGGGGGGAGGTCCCCCACAACAAATCTTGTCAACTGTGGACATGGGGGGGAGGGGCAGGGTCAGTCCTCGATGATGAAGAATCACTGGTATAGTATAGTATATGGTATAGTATATGGTATAGTATAGCATAGTTTAGTTTAGCATAGTACAGTAAAGTATAGCATAGTCTTCAGATCCTACCCCATTTTTCTGTGTGTTCATTATAACTGTTGTATCAGTGTGAATATTACAAACCTTATATCTTAATGTACTTACTGATTTTGGCATGGTGATCATCGTGAAAGGACTCAAGTGTCGTGTTCCTGTTGGAGCCTACGCGTGTGTTTAAATGTCATGAAGAGTGTGTAATCGCCGCTCACCACCTAAAAGAACTCGGACAACAGCCTCTAATATGTCGCCTTTGCGCTCCCTCCCTCTGCCTGACTACACAGCGAGGAGTGAAGGCCAAGAAGGTGGTGCACGTTTCCCTACCTGTGGTGATCGTGGTGGTTGAGTCCTAGACTGGCCCTAAGCATGGCATTGGGGCATCATCCATTGCTCACCTCTCCATCCGCAGTCTGCCCGTTATTGACCCTGTACTGCCCCCTGACCTAGTATCTTGCCAGTGCTTCCTATGATTGCAGGTGTGTGTCTGTGTCTGCGTGCTTGTTATCTTCCCCTTTATACCCAGATTAAGCCAAGAGCTGAAATTTGGCCAGTAACAGTTAGTTAATGTGGGGTCATCGTAGAGTTCCAGTCAAAATTCTGGATACACCAGCTTTTAATGCATTTGTCTCCATTTTAGCTATGTTTAGCTTAAAGTTAAATGCCTTGAGGCAATGAAGTAATCCAAGAGGAATTGTTCAACATTTTTCCAAATTTTAGACTCTTCAAAATAGCAGAGTTTTGCTTTGATGACGGCATTGCAAACTGACATTTTTCCAACCAGCATCCTGGTGTAGCCACCTGGATGCTTCTCCAGTGGTCCCGAAGGAGTTTCTGGGTACCAGTTGGCTATCTTGTTCTTACTCTTCGGTTCAGCTCATTCCAAACCAGCTCTATAGGGTTTAGGTTGAGGGATTGTTGGGCCAGGTCATCTGTCACAGCACTCCATCTCTTTCCTTGATCTTACAAGATAATACTTTCATTAACTCGAGGTGTACTTAGGGTTGCTATCTTGTTGTGTCTAGACTTTTGACTGGTCCTGTATATGATATTCATAAGTTCTGCGCTTGTAGCAGTGAAAGGTCTTAGTTTGTGGGAGCTTTAGTGCTGCAACATCCACTGCCCTGTAAGCTGTCACCTTAGTGCAGTGGTTAGCATGCGGATATAAGCAGTAACAGCTACAGTGACAGAGGGGTGTAAGGTTACTTCTTCTTGCGTGCGGTTGGCTTGCCCCCCTGGCCCTTGCTACTGCAGCACTTACTCGAATTGCGCCGCAGTGCCTAGACTCATGGTGAAATATCGGTACCTCTGATTCCACAGCCCATCAGCAGCTCAGGAATTATACTAACCCCCACCCAACCAGGTTCTCAAAAATGCATCCACAGTGAAATCCCTAGCTGTTACATGGTCTGACATCCTGGGCGTGTCCAGTCGCCAGCCCCTTCAGCCTCCTCTTCAGTCCGGAGCGGGCGTGTGAGTGCTTGTGTGTGGAAATTCCTGCAAACCCGGCTGGCTTCCTCCCTTCCCTTTGCCGCCATTTGCGCCTCTCCTCTCATCCTGTGCTTTGGGCTGCTTTCTCTCTCTTGGCTGGCTACAGATCCTGGTCTCTGTTTTGCCGTCTGCTTCCGTCCAGTGGTGTTCAAATTGTACAAGTGTCTTAGATTTATTTGTGTCCGTTTTTATATGGAGACTATGTAACTGGTTCTGGTGGTTTTATTTTATTAATCACCTAAAGGAAATCCTTGCATAGTGACTTTAGTTGTATCAGCTGTTTTACTGATATTCAGCTCAAGACTAGAATTTTAATAAGATAGATTAAAGTAATACATAATATTCTTGCCCTCCTATGCAAACAAAGCCCAAACAAAACTAGAAAATAAAACGTATTTTGTGGTTGTATCTGTCTAACTTCATGTTTCATTGTACACTTTGAGGACGTTATAGATGAGGGTTGGCTTTGGAGAGAAGGTCCCCTGTGGAAGGCCGGACTGAGGTGGGATGACAGTATTCATCCACTTTGAAGTTTCTTATGTACAGTAGGCCTGGGCGATGTCCAAAAAAACAATATCAATATTTTAATTTTTAAAAATTGGGATTGTCAATAATTTTGAGTCGTCCAACCCACCCCACCCAAACACACAAGCATTAATGCCTCCGGCCCTACGTTTAATTTATTGATTAGTGAACATTTTAATTTAAAACAAGTTGAAAGTGTTCTTTTAGGTGTCTATGAGGAGTTTAAAAAGGGAAAATGGGCATAACAGATGTTGTCTCTAGTAATGGGCTTCTTGCGCATGGAGATATGGTGAAGGACTAATTAAAACTAATTAATTAATAGTATAATAATTAGTTTATCCAAGACTGTAACTGCGCAGATGGTTCTCTTTTGTTATCTCAGGATTTGGCTATAGTCTGTGAAGACCATTCTTTCCCATAAATGAAAGAGACTCTGCTGATGTGGCTGTCGCCAATTTCCTTATCTTGAAAGGGAACTACCAGCGCTTTTCTCATTTGTCCGTCCACATAAGCTGGGAGGCTCATAATTCCCACTAAGGAGGTTGCACTTGAATGGCTGACATTCTGGCTGTCGCTGATGTGACAACATCAACCTTCCCAACTTGCGAGATCAGCGAACAGACTATTACTCCAATGGGTAATACTTCTGAAACAATGACCATGATTTTTCAAAAGCTGCATCAGAAATGTAGGCTGTAAGGCTGAACTGAAAGACGCGTCCTAAATCGTTCTCTTATCCTCCTTTGTGTGTGGCCTAAGTCACTGTGAGACCACAATGCCAGGATACTTGTGCGTCATTGTCGAATACCAATAATATCCTCAAATCGCCCAAGCCTAATGTACAGAACTGTATCAGTCTTTATTAAGAGAATAATAGAACATGGTTCTTGTTTCCTAGAATTCACTTCACATTACTAGTTTCAGTTTGGTAAATGATTAAATGAGAATTTTAGGGTGTTGATTGGATCCCCCCCCACCTCACAGCTTGTGAATAACAGTGATTAACAGTTAGCAGTTAAACACACCAGAAACAGAAAGTTTCACAAGTGACAGCACAGAGATACTGCATTATGCCAGAGCGTAGACAAGGAGTAAAGGAAGGTGACTTGGGGTGTAACAACGCTCCGTGGCATGATATTTTGTGATTCAAAAATATGATGATGCGCATTATAGGGATATAACAGTGCATCATGGCACAAAATCATTTCTTAATGTTAACGCAAGAGGGCCCAGTAGGCATAATCTTAGTTTTGCTTTGAGATTTTAGTTTTGCATTTTGCCCTGGAGTCAGAATATAGAAAAGATTGCAAGAAAAAAGAAATGGTTTGAAAACAGTGTTCTTATGAATGTACGTGCCTAAAAGGAATAAATAAGAACTGTGAGATCTTAGTTTGTTTTCTGTCTTACTTTGTTGAATATATTGTGAGTGTACGGAACCATGAGCTGCAGGTGGTGCATCTAGTTGGTGCCATCTGGAATAAGGGCCCCTCCCTGCCTGGGTCCTTTGGGTTTGCAGCTAGTAGAAGCTTTCTGGTCGATTTGGCGACCTCTGGTTTTTATCTCTGGTGATCCTCCCCCACACAGTTGTCCTTGGCGTCATCTGGAGCTTCATCACCCGCAGAGCCATCACAGCGTAGCGCAGAGCACTGATGCTGAATTCTGGTAGCCCCGATTAACGGCAATCCCACTCTGTAGTAGCAAGGGTCCGTTATTTTAGGATTATATACCTGGAATGGTCAATTATACTCTCTACAGAATGTAGATGCAACAGGATTTTTTTTTTAATTGGTTCATAGTTTCGCCCACCACACTGTTAGGGTCAGTTGGCCATTCTCTGCATTTGCACATTTAGGTTTAGGGATTGGGCATCTTTAGCAGACAATTTTATGCAAAGCAATATAGATTTGACTGATCAGGGTCAGCCGGTCCCTGGAGCCATTGGGGGTTTAGAACCTTACTTAGAGGCTCAACAATGTAGTCACTCTGCCAAGGATGGGATTTGAGCCAGTGTCCTCATGATCATGAACACAGCATCCTGACCCAGTGAACCACACAACGTACCTGTGTGACTTATGATTATCCTGAACCAGAGCAGTAAAATGTCAGTGCTGTCGGTGGGTAACATTAACAGTATATATCTGTAATAAGCACTGGTCTCTGTCGGTGGGTAACATTAAGAATATTTCACCTCTTTGTATTCCTAGGCAGGTATGCTAGATATCAGGGTTGGGGCCGTTCCAGAATGCATTTATCAATTCCAGTCCAAATCAGGAAATGGAACTGGATTTGGAACTTAACTCCCTGAAATTCAAATTCAACTCCAATTCTGTTCCCTGTAGTTTTTTTTTTTCCAATCCCAGCTCCAGTTCCATTTCCTGAGTTGCACTGGAATTTATCGATGCATTCTGGAATGGCCCCAACCCTGCTAGATATACTAAACATAGTGTCTACTAGAGACTGGAGATAAAAGCAGGTCTCCAGAGTTTTGCTGTGAAGTACACACACAGCCATATTACAACAGGCTAAGAAGATACACAGAAATATTAGCCAGTTGAACAGTTCCTGCTTAGTTTACTGCTTACCGAGGCATGGTGTGTTATCTGCATTTAAGTCCACTAATGTTCATGGAAATAAAGTGGGGAAAAAAAAAAATGTGCTTTAACTTCTGTGTATATTTGGCTATTGAAATACTTCTGATCTGACGAGGGAACATCTTGGTCTATCTTGGAGTCTGAATCCCCTTTTTGCTGTGCCTGCGTTTGTGTGAACTTTGCTACTTGTCTCTCTGGCTAGGAACCTCACTCTTTTTTTTTAGGGCCCAAAGGTGCATCGTCTCATTCACCACAAGGAAGCAATATTCTGTTTGAATATTGAGTAAATCTTTATTACAAGTGGTCAAAAATCATAACATGGCTCCAGATCCATCATGAGTGTAAAAAGCATCCCAAGGCTTTGCAGGGTGTGGTGCTGCACAATATTCTTATATTATTTTATGTTATACATTGCATGTATTAAATAGTATGGTTTCTTTCCTTATTATCAGTTGTCTAGAGGAATCCTGGTGATAGCTAATGTTTCTTACATGATTTTGCAGGTGATTAAATGATTTTATTGGCCTGGGGCCATGGATCTTGTTTGTGGGATTTAAGTGCCTTTCAACCTCAGCAGTGTCCTGTGTGTATGTGGAACAGTCCATCACCCAAAGAAATTCAACCGATGGCTTGTGAGACAAGGTTGACATGAATTAAGCGGATAAACAGATGGTCTACAATGAACTGACAGCCCAGAATGGCACAGGTGCCAAAAGACCAATAGAAGTATATACAACATGTCATACCTAGATGAAAATCAAATCAGGTATCTCTCTTATTCCTCTCTAATCTGTTCCTCAGCTTTAACACTGAAAAAGGTACTAGACAGCAGCTACTGGTCAGTTCGTTTAGCTTCATTTTGTCCTTAACGTTTTATAAAACAAAACTGAAAAGCTACAAAGTTCCCGTAAAATAGGATTTCTTTTAATCTTGTGTGAACAGGATAATTTCTTGTGCGCTCAATATAATATTAAGATAATAAAGTTACCCTGCTTAGACTGCTGCCCCCGCGACCAACCCTGGATAAATGTCAGAGGATAGATGGATGGATGGATAACTTTTGTGAACATGGAGCGATGAGTACCACTCATAAAATTGTACTTCAATCTTGGAATCTTACATTCATGTTACATTAAGGTAAAGTTAGCCTCATGTCCTATATTCAGTTTTCTGGATGTGGCAAGCTAGGTGGTTTCTAATCTCAAATTCTTGATGTCCAATGCACAGACAGAAATTTTTGTGATAGCTACAAAAATAGGTTATTTCAGTTGTAATGAGACATCAATTAAGCCTTTTGAGTTAATGGCAACTCTTGGACATCCCCTTCCTTTACTGGCAAATTTTAATACATTTTTCAATTTTGCACTTCACATTAATTTACAGTCAGGCTGCTCATTCATAGCACAAAGGGTATAATAACTGTTATAATAACTCTAAAGCAACATGAGTCAGATACATCTAATAAAATATGCTTTGACTGTGGGGGATAATGCACACCTTTTGGATTTTTCATATATAATTATTTCCAGTTACAATCTATACATTCAGTGTACATTGGAATAAATAAATGGGCTAATAACTCCAAAACTAAATAAGACACTATGCTTTAAGCAGTTAATTATGGGGCAGTGCACAACATTAAGTGGTCATTTATTGCACAATGGAAATACTAAGTATATTTTCAGGAGGAGGGTTTGTTGCCCGTTGCTTTAAAGTTTGGCTAATTTCTTGTGTGCAGAAAGTAATTGTGTAAGTAATTGTGCACACAGTATAATGAATTTTTTACATTATATGTATTTTGTGCACATTAATTTTGAGACTTTGTGGGCTTCATAAAATGCAGAGTAGTGATAATTAAGAAGTAATACATTTTTTTTTTCCAAATGAGGATTCTAGTGTTTTTCAACCTTACTGGTTGCTGGGAGGGCGCAAGAACCTGGACCTTCTGTAGGTCCTCAAAAAAACCATTTTGAGAACCACTGACATAGATTATTGATTAGACAGATAATACAGGCAATCATCTGCTACGTGATCCGTGTATGATGTCATGGGCCATATTCCCTGGCCATTATAACATTGAGCATTGTAGAGATGGAGGTCAGGTTACAAGTTTAGGGTTTGGTTTCCTTCAGGGAGATTCTTCATTGACAGAATTTATCATCAGCAGGTTGGCATGCAAAATAAGGACCCCGACCTTCACGCGGGCATCTCTCTAACCCTCATGTCAGCGGCATCCACCCAGTCCTGCCGCAGTGGTGTTTTTCCTGCACCACCCCAACGTTGCTTTCTTACTCTGCTGATGTGGGTTAATTCCGCAACTTGAGCCATCTGCTGAACCGCTGTCTGTCCACCGGGAGCCGTGGGCCTAGCCTGATGCTGCTCACTTTGTAGCAGGGCTAGATTTTCCACTTTCTGTCGACAAGTACAAAGAGGAGTAATGGTAGAGGATCAGTTTCATTTTTATTTCCTGTTCGATGGCGCGTCCCAGGAGTATGCAGAAAGGGTTTAAGACTTGGTTTTCTCAAAATCTCATTTATGTATCTCTCATTTCTTTTTTTTTGCATTTAGTACAAAAAATTTTGGGATTATTTTTTTATGCGCCCTGCAATGGGTTGGTGGCCCACCCTGGGTTCTTCTCTGCCTTTCGCCCATAGCATCCAGGATAGACTCCGGAAAAGCGGGTACAGACAATGGAGGAATGGATGGATTTTGACACGCAATGCAAAATAATCCAGCTGTCAGCAGGTAGCTTCTGATTCATTTAAAAACTAATTTAAATAGATGAAACACGAAATGTGTGCAACTAAAATACTTTTCTGCTGTGACCAGCCGTCACAGATTTTTAATACTTTTTCGGAATACTTTTTAATACTTTTTTGAAATGATTATTGCTTTCCTGAATCCTGAAGTGGTCTGTCCCTGCAGTTATATGAAAAGTGTGTTCTTCCCATTTAAAATAAAACTGCCCATGCAGTCTCTTTCCATGGCCTCCTCTTTGTCTGAGCAGATGATATATCAGTTTTTCATTGTATACATGTTTTTGACCATATTCGTTTGACTTTTGTGTCATAAAAGTTCTCTCTCAAAGTCTTCAGATTCCCTGCTACTGCTACTCAGTCCTACCTTGAGCTGTATGCTAATGAAGGTAAAATAGGAGAAAAGGCAAATGGTTTGACTTAGGAAAACATCAATGAATTTGAAAATCGTGCCTCTACTCTCATAAGGTTGAATTTAGCTAGATACTATTTTATTGCTATGGTTAAGATGTGAGAAAGTGTACAGGAAAAAGGCTTTAATCATAATGTTGCAATTTTTGTTCAAAGTCATTTTAGTTCATCGAGCTACATTGATATAGTGTCTGCCAGCACTGCGACAGTCGTCAGCTTCCTACCAGTTGTCATATCCAGATGTAATTCCTACAGATGTTTCATGCTTTAAATAAACTCTGTCAGGATGACTTTTGTTAAAGGGCGAGGTCTGGAGTATGGGAGTCGGCATTATGTGAAGCCTGCTGATGTCTTGTGCCTGACAGCCACTTATCGCTGCACCACATGTTCAGCCACCTCTGAACCTCACATGTATCAGTGGGCTTAGAAAAGAAAAATCATTGCAATTCTGGCTGCCCCCCTGGCTGCCCCCCCGGGCTGCCCCCTATGCCTAGCTATCCTCAGATAACAAAGGTAAATGCAACACAACACTCTGAGATATTTATACACTCATGCAGGCACATAAATCTATGTGCACCCACAAAGAGAATTATACAGGTGCTCAGCTCAAGTCCCGTGACCTCCCTTTTGCTATTGGCAGGCTCCTATAGCCCATTCTAATTAGTCGCGGGAAGAGGTGTGTTGCTAGGATACTACGGGGACTTGCAATCCTGCCAGCTCCCCCCCCCCCCAATGCTTTTTTCTGCATGAATCAATAGCTAGTGCAATCCTTTCTCTGTCGCCGTTCCTCTCCCACTGTCTCTCTCGCTCTCTCACTCTCTGTCTTTATTTCTGTCTGGAGAGAAGATGGGAGGGGGGGAGACGGTGATGTAATGGCCTTCGAGGGCAGTGGTTGGAGAATCACAGCAGACGGTTGGGGGGCGGGGGGGAGGGGGGCGGGGGATTCTTCTGTGAGCAGGTGCAGGGAAGGGGGCCTGCGGAAAGGCAGAGCAAGATGGTAGCTTTCTAGAGAGAAAACAGAAGGTGCTGGTGCGAGAGGACAGACAATAGCCCGCGATTGGACGGCGGCGGCGCGCGGATTTCCCCTGGGAATTCGCCAGCAGCATCACTTCTTAGCTACTCAGCCGGCGCCGTGCATTACGCTAAGCACGCATTGTTCCGGGATTACTAGCGTCTTCCTGCTGCCTTTCATCTATCCGTCTTCCTCTCGCCCGCTCAATGTGATTGTGACTGAAGGTCTCTCTGTTTATCTCTACCTGCATCTCTCCTTTTTTGCAAATATGATGAGACAGACGCCCGCGCCACGGAAGGTACTAGTTACTCTTCTTTTTATTTCTGCCACGGCTGATTTGTCATCTCTCCATCATTCATTTGGTCACAGTGGTGCTTAGAGTCCGTGCTAGCAGTGTGTGTTGCGTGAATGCATTGGGGTGCCTTTGCCTTTTCTGAATTATTCTGTTACTGCTGGGTTTTTGCATGGGTGGGGAGGGGCAGTTATTGGCTCATAGGTTTGATTTTTGCAGTGCTTTCTAGTAACATGCTCAGGACTCCAGACTCCGTTGTGTTTTTTTTTTTGTCATATATTTTTTATTTGCTATTAATTTGCCTTTGTAGTGATATGTTTGTGTCATGTATTCATTTGTCATTTTCACTGGCATGCAGCCCTTATCAGTTATGTGATTGACCTGCTGGACAATCGTCTAAGATACTTTAAGTGTCAGTGGGAGAGTCAGTGAACTTCTGCATGCTGCAGCCGCACTAGCCTCATCTTCTCGATAGCGTGAATTGTTTACGAACACAAAAGCATTGGTCTTATGTACGGCATGTTTTTGGTGTGGAGTCAATGATTTCCTTGCCTTGCCATCATTTAAATATTCCAATCTTTGAAGTCAGTTAACAATATTTGTGTATTTAAAGTCAAAAAGTAATGTAATATTTCACTCAGATTAGTCACAATGACTGTCATCTCTAATTTGTTGTCACTATAAAGTATGAAGCTAATTTATACTGAATGCCCTAATCTAATCAGTGCCTTGAACTGAAGAGGCAAAAAATGTTTTTAGAGATGTTTAGTGTTGGAAGTTTGAGTGTGGAAATTATTAAAAGAATAAAAAAGTCAAAGAATATGAAAATCCAGCTATGCAAATGTCTTATGGTTGTTTCACCAACTAAGACAGTTCATTTTCTCTCTTATTTTATGAAATTTGTACAATTTGGAAAGACCATTTGGAAATTTCAAATATTTAAACTCTTTAGAGTTAATCACACTGTAACTTATGCTATTCAGAAATTAGAAATTTTACCTCAAGGAAAAGTCATTTCTCATGTTGGTCTAATTTATTAGGAACTGTGAACTATGTCAGCATTTTTGAAGACCTCAAAGAACTCTGAAACCCATAAGGAGAAACCGATGAATTTGGTTAACATATAACACAGAAGTTTTTAATTTAATTAATGTAAATGTTAGTCAACTTGTGTAGGGTATTAGCTATTTTATTTTAGTATTTTAGTAAAGATAGTGTAGTAGACTTGGATAGACAGTGGTATCACATCAGGAGAATGTTCTATCCTCTCTGTACTTAGAGGCTGTTGCCGCTGAAAGCACAATGAAGCCATTAGCAGCTGCTTTTCGTACCAGTCGTTGTTCTTATCAGCGTATGCTACACCAGCCCAGCTCCAGTGACAATGACAGGTATTCAGGGCAACAGCATCTGTGAAAAGTAGCATCTGACCCCCCCCCCCCGCTAACAATTTTTTGATCTGGTAACAGTTATCAAATCTTACAATTAAGCTATGGAAACGTTCAAAGTCTCTAATTTTCTTGATGTTATCCCTGTACTAATGGTAGTAGTAACTACTACAATTTAAGAATAATGATATATAAGCAGCCTTAGAGCATCATAGAGAAGTGGGTAGCACTGTTGCTTTACACCTCAAAGGCCACGGGTTCGAGGCTGGGTGATGCTTATACCATATACACATATCACACTTTCATAAAATAGTTTTATTATAATGCAGTATTAATTGTGTAAAAAAGATGTTCAAGTAATTTTATCGTGCTGACATTGACAGAACCTTGTGTGAAACGTGGAAATAACGTTCCATTAACGTTCCATTAACGTTACAGTAAAGTGTTCTCTGCCAACTTTGCGAAGACCTTCCCATAATGTTTACTGAAGTTCTGGGAATGTTCCCTGTTAGCTGGCCAGCCATTTCTGTGCCCCTCACTTGCCTTTGGAACTGATGGTTTAGTTTAGAATAGATATCTGATAGCTGATAGTTTTGACTTTGCGTGCGGACTGTGGAGAAACTCTGCAGGAATAGTGGGCGGTTGGTGCAGGTAGCTTGGGGCCTGTTTGTATCGTCTGTTTATGGGAGGACAGACAAACGGAGAATGACAAACCATGAAACGAAGAGAATCAGAAGTTTGGCGCCGCAATGAGTAGTTCAGATAACCAATACTTTTGTGTGAAAAGGAGCCCTTCTTTAGTTAATACATTATTATGGTGGTCTTTCAGTTCTTTGGGGCTTTTCGTGGGTAAGGCCTGGTTTTATTAACCCCGACTATGTTCTTCTCCTTCCGCTCCACGCCATCTCTCCTGCGACTGGTTCTTCCCCTCTGCTTCTCCGTCCGTCTGTGCGTCTGCCTGCCTGCCAACCTGCCTCTTTGTCTGTGTGCCTAACCTCTCCTCCCTGTGACTCTGTTCGGCACAAACCCTCCTATTTTCCTGCAGACCACCACCAGGCGCACCAAGGTGAGCTCCATATCCAGCATAGGGGATTATTTTGGGGGAAGGTGGGATCCGGCCCAGTGACACATGCTTTATTTGCCTGATCTTTGGTCACAGATTGCGATACTGTGATTCAAGGCAACTTCTTTGTTTTGTTCATAATTGCGCATTGTCATCCCATTGTTATTTCCATAAATGATGAATAAACACATGGTGGTCATCACATGGTGGTCATCACATGGTAACATATCCTGCAAATGTGTGTACATGTCTGAATTTTTAAACACATCCAGTGTTACTTACTAAGGGAAAACTATAGGTAAGGTTATTGAGGGCAACTATTCTGACTGTTCAGTCAATTAAGGAAATTACACTAATGAAGTCAGGGAATATGTTCAAATAAAACAAGGCACCAGACAATAAATTTGAAACTGCTGCTGTACTGATATATTTCTAGCGTCTAGAGAGCGGAATGCAGTGCTGTGCGTAACCATGTGGTTAATGGATCACGATGTATGATTCGGCTGGAGCAGAAGTTATCGATCACAGATGCCTGTAAATACCGCAGCAAAAGCTGATGGGCACCTCCGTTCTGGGCACACTGCAGTCAGACGCAGATCTGCAGTGCATTTCCCGCATACTCCCACTAGCCACTTGTATATGAATGAGTATTATATTTATATAGCACTTTTAAAGACACCCAAAGCAATTTACAGAACCAACGCTGAGCCACTTCAACCACCAGTACTGTGTAGCCCCCACCTGGATGATGCAACAGCAGCCATTCTGCGCCAGTACGCTCACCACACAATAGCTAAGGTGGTGAAGGGGCAGGAGAGAATTCACCAATTAGATATAGAAGATGAACAGGAGGCCAGTTTTGAAGGGCCACAGTGGGCAATCTTAGTCAGGACATCAAAGTACCACTCTATCTGGACCTCGGCTTTACATCTCATCTGAAGGACGGCACTGATTTTGACAGTACAGTGTCCCCGTCACTGCAATGGGGCACTGGGATCCACACTGACCACAGGATGGGCTAACCTGTTGGCCACACCAGCAGCTCTTCCAGCAGCAACCCAGCTTTCCTAGTTGGTCTCCCATCCAAGTACTGGCCAGGCCCAAACCTGCTTCAGATGGATCACCTAGTCTGCACTGCAGATGGTATGGCTGCTGATATATGGCTCCAGCTTTTGGGAAACGTACCCCTGTTCATTAAGCCCATGTGCAGAGCTTCAGCAGTGACCCAGACAGAAAGCCATGTCACGTGATTTTTAGACGTTCAGGATGTCTGCACACTCACTCATTAAGCTGTGGCCGCAGTGGGAAAGGGGACACTTCTAATGACATGCAGCATGAACCTTTATAAACACTCGTTCTCACAGCTGGAGGTGGGGTGACTACAGTTCTTCTTAACTGCCCATTTCTACCTCCAAACCCTTAGCAGGGACACTGGTTCTACTGTAAAACCTTTATCTGTTACATTGTAGCACCACAATTGGTGTAAGATAAAGGACATTGTGAACTTGAAGGATGTCTCGTGTTAGTCAAGGTTTGTATTGTGTAGGTTTAGATGTTTCACAAGTAATAGTTTTAATGACGCTAATTTTACTGGGTGTTGTGCCTGCCTTGGTTAATGCTGTAGGATTAGAGGTTTAGTCACCAACATATGTAGCGCTGGAGCTTCTCTCCCTGCAGGTGTGTTGCCGTCTACTTTAAATTTAGCATTTCCTGTGAATATTTAACACTGAATGAAATGTGAGGATTTGTTGCTTTTTGATGAGGAGTTTGTTTCATATGGGCTTTGTTGCAGGCAGGATATATGGGATACTGTGAAGCAGTGCTTGTCAGCCATGTTTGGGGTGTATGTTCACATGAATAATCCCTCGCAGCAGCCCAGCCGGCCCACTGGCTCCACGGCCTCCAAGGCGGGCCCCTCGGGGTCGGCCTCCGCCTCTGCTGGGGAAATGAGCAGCAGCGAGCCCAGCACCCCCGCTCAAACTCCTCTGGCAGCACCTGTCATCCCATCACCCAGCGGCAACCTGCTGTCACCCGGGGCCCCACCTGTACCTGTCCCCAGCAAGGTAAGCCATGCCCCACCCAGTCCGCAGCAAGGTAAGCCATGCCCCACCCAGTCCGCAGCAAGGTAAGGCATGCCCCGCCCAGTCCGCAGCAAGGTAAGGCATGCCTCGCCCAGTCCGCAGCAAGGTAAGGCATGCCCCGCCCAGTCCGCAGCAAGGTAAGCCATGCCCCGCCCAGTCCGCAGCAAGGTAAGGCATGCCCCGCCCAGTCCCCAGCAAGGTAAGCCATGCCCCACCCAGTCCGCAGCAAGGTAAGCCATGCCCCGCCCAGACCCCAGCAAGGTAAGGCATGCCCCGCCCAGTCCCCAGCAAGGTAAGGCATGCCCCGCCCAGACCCCAGCAAGGTAAGCCATGCCCCGCCCAGTCCGCAGCAAGGTAAGGCATGCCCCGCCCAGTCCCCAGCAAGGTAAGCCATGCCCCGCCCAGTCCGCAGCAAGGTAAGGCATGCCCCGCCCAGTCCCCA